CAATGTATCATATCTACCATCCGTTCTACATTTTCATATATTGTTGAATGTAATATAGAATAATTAAGTATTTTTATTTATTTTCTTGATTTGTACTGTCCGTAATCAAAAAATTTTAATGTTTTTTTTCTTTACACTTGATTTTACTTTGAATTTCTTCCATCACGTCAGAGAGTGAGTTGAGTTACTAAGTTTTGATTTTTATTTTATTTTGTACTTTTCTTTTTACTATATTTGTTTTATTGTTTTTTATTACTTTTTATTTTTTACTTTTTAATTAAATATATATATATATATATATAGGGTGTTATATATATTATGGGATTTTTTTTTAATATATGAGGATTTCATATTATTTGGATATTTAACTATTTTAGAAGGTTTTGGTAAGAAAATGCTAATAAATGGGTAAGTTTTAATAATTGGTATATGTATATGGTTATTTAAAATTATCTATGGTATTTAAACACAAAGAAAATAGTAGTTTGCTTAAATTCTAATAATTTGGTAAGTGTAGCAGTCCGGTCCATTGTAGAAGTTCCGTATACTGTTCCGCTAATTCGGGAGCTGGCGGTTAAGGGGTTAAAATACAATTAATTTTATCGACAAATCAGGGATCAATGATTTTTTTCGCCATCAATAAAAAAATGCCAGCACTTTAAAAAAAATTGTTGGCGAAGCATAGGTGCTTGTATTAATTTAACAATATCTACCCAAGTAGAAGACTTTCAAAAACAAAATTGGTCTCAAATGTTAGTTAATAGTGTAGACAATAAATCGAGATTCAAAGTATTATTTTTTAATTTTTCAGTATTAGTAAAAAACATTTTTGAAAAAATAAATTAGACAACAAATTGATGTTGTTTTTCAGATTCTTAGCTTTAAAAAAAAACATCGTGTTATCCAATTTTTTTTACTTGTTTTTATTATAATACAGGATATTTGCTATAAATGCACATTTAAATCTTAACACTGAGTTAGATAGTTTAGGAGCTATGACAGTGTAAACATACTTACTTGAAAAGCGCGGATACATTAGCAAATGAAATAAAACAAAATAATTTATATCAATTGCATTTAATTTGGCAAAATAATTACAAAAACTGCTCAAAGTGACCTCCTTGTCTCTGCAGACATGCTGTTGCTCTTAGTGCAACGTGTTGCGTAGAGCGCTGGATCATAGCCTTGTCTTCTCGCAATTCGTTTGCTGCTTGAATTATTTTTTCCGCTAACTCCTCTCGTGTATTTGGCACATTTACATACACTCTTTGTTTGAGTGTGCCCCACAAAAAAAAATCGAGAGGTGTTAAATCCGGCGACCGCGGTGGCCAAGCAATTGTTCCTCCGCGTCCGATCCACGACGAATAGTGTGCATTTAAATGATTCCGCACAAGAATTGCGAAGTGTGCCGGAGCACCATCCAATTGCAGAATCATTCTGGCCCTGTAGGCCAATGGTAACTCCAATAAAGCATCCAAAAAATTCGTTTCCAGGAAATTTAGGAATCTTGGGCTATTCATTGTCTCCGGTAAAATGATTGGTCCAATTAGAATGTCTTCAATCATTCCGGCCCAAACGTTGACAGAAAATTTATGTTGAAAAGAACTTGGGCGGATCGCATGTGGATTTTCTTGAAGCCACAGGTGTTCGTTACGGTAGTTCGTATACCCTGATCGCGTGAAAGTAGCTTCGTCTGTCCACATAATTCTTTTTAAAAAGTTTGGATCATATCGCGTTTCTCTCAATATCCACGAACAAAATATTGCTCTTCTTACATAATCCGGTTCCAGTATTTCTTGCACCCTTCGAAAATGGTAAGGATGTAATCCTTCTCTTTTTAAAATTTTCCACACAGACCATTTTGATAGACTGAGACGATTAGCTATGCGTCTAATGCTCAGGCTAGGGTCTTGAGTAATCATTTGCAATATTTGATGTTCATCTTGGAGCGACAAAACACGAGTACGTTCGTTACCGAGCCTTCTTATTCCATTTTCCGCAAGTCTCAAATGAATTCTCACGAAAGTGCGAGCATTCGGCGTACGTCTGTTAGGAAATCTGCGTGCATACTCTACAACAGCTCTATTTGCACTCCCGTTACACAATCCATACACGAAATGGATGTCAGCGATATGCTGGCTTGAGTACTCGTTAATTGTAATAAACAAAAAGTAACAGTTCAACAACAAAACAAAAACGTAACAAAGTCTAAAAACAAACAATAATTATGTACAGTAAGTAGATTTACTTAAAACCAGGAATGTTATCACAACGCAGAGCGAGGGACGACTGCTTGACGGCACAAGCGCACACTGCACCCTTTTTACCTGGAGACAGCCGTTATTCTGTCTCGCTCGCACTGTTGTGCACAGCGTTTTTTACCTGCTCACACAAAGGATGCTATTGTGCTTGCTTACGATTCCTTGAATTATTGAAGAATTTTATCTTACTCACTGGAATGGGCGTTTAGTTATCTAATATCGGGGTAGAGGCACTTTGAACAGTTACATTCAAATTATCGTAGCTCCTAAACTATCTAACTCAGAGTTAAGATTTAAATGTGCATTTATAGCAAATATCCTGTATTATAATAAAAACAAGTAAAAAAAATTGGTTAACACGGTGGTTTTTTTTAAAGCTAAGAATCTGAAAAACAACATCAATTTGTTGTCTAATTTATTTTTTCAAAAATGTTTTTTACTAATACTGATAAATTAAAAAATAATATTTTGAATCTAGATTTATTGTCTACACTATTAACTAACATTTGAGACCAATTTTGTTTTTGAAAGTCTTCTACTTGGGTAGATATTGTTAAATTAATACAAGCATCTATGCTTCGCCAACAATTTTTTTTAAAGTGCTGCCATTTTTTTATTGATGGCGAAAAAAAAATCATTGATCCCTGATTTGTCGATAAAATTAATTGTATTTTAACCCCTTAAAGTATCGGACATCGGAAACCGGACAACCTGTATATATATATATATATATATATATATATATATATATATATATAGAGATATATATTTTATATAGTTTTTTTTTTTTTTAAATATACTAGAGAGAGAGAGAGAGATCGCTTTACGGTAAATGTTGATCAGCCGCGACTTTACGCGAGCACTTTGTTGAACCGAAAACGCATGTTGATCCGGCGCCTTTTATTGATCCAATATGCATCTCTGGCAACTATTGTGGCTCCGACCGGATCAACATCTGCACTCACGAGACTGTTTGCTAGCGTTGGCCGAAGTTGATCCGATATACAAATCCACCTTACGATGGTTACGGAAAATGTTGATCCGATTTAAATGAGCCAACCAGAGTACAGCAAACGATAAGATAAACGATCGGATTGGCTGAATGCAGCCGCTACGTTGCCGTTTCGTATCTTTGGCGGTACAAGCTACAGATTAAATGCGTGTTCAATACAATAATGCATTCAGGGTGCTATTGGGTCTGCCTCGTTATTGTAATGCGCCGGGTATGTTCACGGATGCGCGTGTGGATTGTTTCTACACCACCATGCGTAAACGATGCACATCTCTGGTGCGCAGGATGCGGGCCAGTTCCAATGGTATCCTGAGGGCATTTTCTGACAGGTTTGAGGTCAGTACCTGAACCATTGTCATATGGTGCACGTGCTGACTAATCAGGCCTGTCTTATAATAGTTTTAAAATTAGGTGAATAGTTTTAAGTTTTACTAAAATTAGTGTGTGCACTGTTGTGTTTTTTTATGTACGTGTGTATGCGGCAGTGTGCGTGTGTTTGTGTATGTGTGTGTGTGTGTGTGTGTGTGTGTGGGGTGTGCGTGTGTTTGCGTGTGTTTGTGTGTGTGCATATGTGTGCGTGCGTGTACGTGTGTGTGTGTGTGTGTGTGTGTGTGGTGTGTGTGTGTATGTGTTTGTGCGTGTGCGCACGTGTGTATTTTTGCACGCGCGCTTGCGTGTTTGGGTGTGTGTGTGTTTACCATAAACCAGTTAACATGTTTTCTACATCTTCATAATCAACATTTTTAAGGACGCGTTTACAAAATTGATAGGTATAGAATCGAACTATTACATGAGATATTATCATGATACCTTACCTCCGGTCGTGATGGAGTGACAAAATGTAATTCGGGATTACTAGTGGAACGGTGAAACTCCGAGCATAGCCCTCTCCATAGCTCGCTGAGCGACTTTGAGCGTCCTCATACGGCCAGCAGAGAAGGACCACGTCTCGGTTCCGTAGATCATAACTGGCAACACGCACTGGTTGAACAACTTAGTATTCAGGTTTCGAGGTATACCTGACGAGAAGATGTGTCATAATTTCCCGAACGCTGCCCAGCCGAGAATCCGTCGATTGACCTCTCGGTCGAAGTTGGACATACCTAGTCGGACTATTTGTCCCAGGTAAACGTACTCGTCAACAACTTCGAGCATAGTGCTCCCAACAATTACCGGCATAGGTGTGACATGGACATTAAACATGATCTTTGTTTTGTCCATGTTCATCTTAAGACCTATCCGTTGGAAGGCACTATTGAGGTCATTGAGGATAGTGTTTAAGTCCTCCAGCGATTCTGCCATAAGGACTATATCGTCGGTAAATCGAAGGTGAGTGATGTACTCGCCATTGATGTTAACACGTTAAATGCCATTATAGAAGAAAGTTTTTTGTAAAAAAAAAAACTTGTAATTTATGTAAATCAAGATATGTATGTTTACTGTTTTTCATAAGAATCTGCCATAGGGTTCCGTAAATATAACAAAAAAAACCCTTGAGGTCACCGGTGCCCCCATGGCGCTATAAAGTAATAAAAATAGTTTCCGTTACGAAGGCGCCACGCCGGTCACCGCGTCGGCCACCCACCCGCTCAGTACTGCGCTAGCGCCCGTGAAGAGAAAACGTGAGTGTTCTATGTTGCTGTAATACTTTGCGTCAAGTACTTAATTAGTGTGATATTGTGTGCAGTGAACTTGAATATTATGAACATTGCAATAAATAATTAAAAATGGAAATATTTAGCAGTAAAAATTTTGAAGAAATACAGGTGGACATGGAAGATTTTGATTTTACACAGGAAGATTTGCGGGCATTAACATTACTCGAGACTAGCATTATACAGCAGAATGAACAAGATAATCAATCAGATCTAGAGTTGTCGGATTCAAACGAAGAACAGTTGCATATTCCGAAAAAACGAAGACGTTTAATCATCCAAAGCGACAGTGAGAGTGAGTCTGATTCCGTTCGAAATTATGTGACAGCCAATATTACCGCCTCAGATCGTGTGTCAAAGAAATGGTCACGCCCTAGGCGTCAACAACCATCTATTATACCATTTACCGAAACTTCAGGTATGAACAAAGAATTTTCTACCATATTAAAAGAAGCAGACCCGGGAGCTTTTTATAGTCTTTTAGTGTCTGATGAAATTTTCTATATGATTGTAGAGCAGACCAACTTATTCGCCTTACAATCCTGCGAATCGAGAAATGTAAAACCTTCATCAAGATCTCATGCTTGGAAGCCAACAGACAGACATGAAATTAAACGTTTCTTTGGACTTATCCTATACATGGGTCTTGTGAGACTCCCAAAGTTAAGCTATTACTGGAGCAAAGATAAAATCTTAGGACAGACATTTCCACGTACCGTCATGAGCCGCAATAGATTCGAAATAATCCTACAGTACCTACATTTTAGTGATAATGAAACCGCAAATAAATCTGATCGAATCTCTAAGATAAGACCGATTATAGATATGGTCAATAATACGTTTCAAAAGTATTATTCACCGAAAGAAGACATCTGTGTCGACGAAAGTCAGGTTCCATTCAGAGGGGGATTGTATTTAGACAATACAATAAAAGTAAACGCCATAAATATGGTTTAATTTTTTTTCGGTTATGAGGATTGGGCCAATTTACTGGAACATCAAAAGCACTTGATTGGGACTATTAGGAAAAACCGAAGAGGTTTACCTAAGGATGTAGTAGAAGCCAAATTTCAAAAGGGAGAGTTCATGGCCATGGAAAACGAGGATGGTATGGATGATGGAATTTTAAAATGGAAAGATAAGCGGGACGTGATGATGCTTTCTACTAAACATTCTGATAAAATGTCAACAATCGCCAAAAAGGGCAAACAGATTACTAAGCCGAAAGTGATTTTAGATTATAATAAGTCAAAAGGATCTGTCGATATGAGCGACCAAATGTCGTCGTATTCTTCTCCCTTACGTAAAACTATTAAGTGGTACCGGAAACTTGGTATTGAGATTTTGTTGAATACTGCCGTAGTAAATGCATGGATTATGTTTACCGAAACTAGGAACACAAAAATGTCAATCGTAGAGTTTCGGAAATCTCTAGTAGACTATCTAACAAGCTCGTCAGATTCTCAGCAGACTGAGTCAGGAGTAACGGTATCAAGACCCAAACGTTTGAAGCACGAGTTGCTAACAAAAACTGGGACAGTGAGAAATACTAGACGATTTTGTGTACACTGTTACAAAGATATGGTAAAGCAGTTTGGACGAAAATTGGCGAAAAATAAAGCTAAACTACTTATACTTTTTGCGCTCAATGTGATGGAAACCCACATATCTGTTTATCCTGTTTTAATAAGATCCATCGTTATGTTTAGTTCTTTCTAGTAAATTATTGATTTAATTTTTTCTGATTGCATTTTTATTTCAATGGTAATTTTTGTAGCATTTTCTGGATTTTTTCCTGTGTAAGAAGACATTTTTTTTTTAATTTGAAGTTTATATTGTTTGTTTTATATTTTTAATAATGTGCATTATAATAGCTTTAAGATTTAATGTGATTAAAAGTCATGTATCATGAAATTAGTCGCTTTTTTTATTTTATCTTAAGGATATTGTACATATTTCCTAAAATTTTCTAAGTAGCCACGTCCCCTTGATAAGGATTACTCTATAGCGCCAAAGCGGTCACTCGCATACACGAAATGTACGACACGCGTGACCGGCGGCCCAAAAATACATTTCGAATATGCCTCTCGCTTGAGGTCACCGGTGACCCCCATGGCGCAATAAAGTAAACCAGATGAGGTCACCGGTGACCCCCATGGCGTTCAACGTGTTAATACCGTATCCTTTCCAGTCCAGTGGCTTGAAAACGTCTTCCAATGCAGCGGTGAAGAGTTTCGGGGAAATAACGTCACCCTGTCTTACACCTCTCTGCAGTTGGATAGGTTTCGTACTCTGGTTCTGTACTCGGATAGTCATCGTAGCCCTACTGTACAAACACTTCAGCACGTCAATATACCGACAGTCAACTTAACACCGCTGAAGAAACTGTAGCACCGCCCAAATTTCGACGGAATCAAAGGCTTTCTCATAGTCCACATACGCCATGCAAAGTGGCAGATTGTACTCTTCATTATCCGCCGAGATAAAGATAAACGAGGTCATCGTCTGATTAAAATCAGCATTTGCGAACTTAACGAGCAAGAAGAAAATGTCATCCACGATCTTAGTGCTAATATAAGTGTTCAATTTGTCGTGGATTCAATGTATGATGAAATGTTAGATGCTACAAATTGTCTTATAAAAAAATAGGTGAAAAATTATGTGAGAACTAGTAATTTAAGTAATGTAGCTTGTAAAATATAATAAAAGTTTTATAATATATCATTATTATTCAATTGTGTAGAGGAAAAAAGAAAAGACATTTATTGTTAAACGAATGTATTTATTAAACCCAAATATTTATTTATTTTAAATTAATATAAAGTTATAAACATGATAATACATATAACTTATTTTTTTTTTTTGAGAAAAAGAAAATAGGTGTCAACTATGTTTATTTTGTCTAAATATTTTAATAAAAATAACTATACATTTTAATTGTAAAATTTTAGTGAACAAAGGAAATTTTTATTGTTGTCAAAGATTTAAATAGTATAACAGTGGTTTATATAATATCTGAAATTAACTACGAGACATAAAAAAATTTTCAAGATTGTGACATAATATGCCAAATGTAACAAAACAATTCGCAACAAAGGATTTCTGAAATATTATATATTTGATTGACTGATGAAGAGCTATCGTATCGCAAAGCCATATAAGAGTTTGTCGGGATATTTTTCATATTTGCGCATGGGGATTTTGTTTTTGTTCTCACTACAGTGCCTGTTCAGTATTTGAAAAGTTCTAGTCCGCGTATGATAACTTCAAGACACGGTTGCTAAGGCCGCCATCGTTTATTCTACCGACGCCATACGTCTGTGGATCTCTTACACTGCAGCTTCCAATTGTAGAACCGTCCTGTGACGCACCTACGTAACGACGCATGCGTCTTGTTACCAAAACAAGCAGCCTTCATATTTTGACTTTGACTTTTTTATATCTTCAGTGTAATTGTTAAGTTACTTTATTGTGTTTTTTTTAATTTGTTTTAAGTTATTCTTTTTTGTTATTGTATTTAACTGTTGTGAATGCAGTCCGTAACCCAATCTAGTGATGACACGGCAAACGCGACACTTATATGTACACAGTGCAACAAGTCATTCAAATCTTTAAAAGGCCTCAACTTACACACTACAAAAACACACAGGAAGTGTATTAGCCAAAACAGTTCACCTTTAGACATACACCCTTTTATTCCAAATACGCCTACTTTTGCAGCCAACTTTCCAACTCCATTCCACACATATCTTAGCCATTTGAAAAATAGTATACAGACAGTTAAAAGAATCCCTCGAGGAGCTCGAATAACCGTTGCTACACATTTGTCACAAGTAATCCAGAAATGTTACATAAGCAATTGTACTCAAGACTGGCAGAACCTATTTTTATTTTCATACAGCACACTACATATAACAAAAACTTCAAATTTATCCTTGACACAAAAGATTAAAAATAACTGTACTGTCAGCTCCTCACCTTCTCCCGCACCTCTAATCAAACATGATGCCCCTCGTAATCGCAACAAACTAATCGAAAACAAAATCTGTGACGGAGATCTCAAAGGTGCCGCTCGCCTTTTGTTCTCCAACGAGGTGCTTTCACCAGATACCCCTGACACCCTTCAGGCCTTACGGTCAAAACATCCTCTAGCTCCAGTAAACCCATATTTTCTCGACCGACCAACAGTAGGGCAAGCATGCCTTCAAATTCAAAACAAAGATGTTACGGATGCCATTTTATCTTTTAAACCGGGTTCGGCTGCAGGTTTGGATGGAATCTCACCGCAACATTTGAAAGACTTAACATCGCATTCTGTGGGTGATGCAGGTGAGCAACTTGTAAATTCGATCACTAAATTAATTAACTTTATGTATTCCGGTAATGTCAATCCAGAAATTGTTCCAATTCTTTTCGGCGCGAACCTCATTGCTCTCACCAAAAAGGACGGAGGGGTGAGACAACACAATTGCTGTTGGATCAACACTACGACGCCTGGCCTCCAAAATTGCTGTTCGACATATTTTACAGAAATTAAATTCGGAATTTGAACCCGTACAGTTAGGCTTCGGTGTAAAAGGAGGGTGTGAGGCAGCCGTCCATGCCCTACGTTCTTTCCTAACATATGGACATCCTGACGTGTTGCTCAAAATTGATGTCAAAAATGCTTTCAATTCGGTAAATAGGGGGACCCTAATGACCGAAATAAATCAACATATACCCGAAATATACAATTATCTTCTTCTCAGTTATGCTGACCCAACAAAATTGTTATATCGGTCTAATGAATTATCCTCGGAAGTAGGTTGTCAACAAGGTGATCCCCTTGGACCAGCAATTTTTAGTTTGGCTATAAATCCCATAATCAAAAGTTTAAATTCTAAATTCAATATTTGGTATCTGGATGACGGAACCTTAGGAGGTGATATGGAAACTGTATTTTTTGACCTTTTTTCAATCAAAAATAAATTTGAAGCCATTGGTTTGGAGCTTAACTTTAGCAAATGCGAACTTTTTATAAATAACTGCAACTTAAATTTAAATGGCGTAAAACACAGATTTAATACTTTGGCACCAAATATTAAAATAGTTAACAGTAATTCCCTTTAACTTTTAGGTTCTCCAATTTTTAACGAATCTATGTCTGAATATATTAATAATTCAATTGCTAAATTTCAAAATTCTGCTGACCGTCTCCTTGAAATTAGTCCACATTATGCACTTTGCATTTTAAAATCTTGCCTTTTTGTCCCGAAATTTACGTATGTGCTCCGTTGCTGCTCCTTTTGGAATCACCCAGACCTCATGACACAAGTGGACAACTTAATCAAAATTAGTTTAGAATCGATTCTTAATATACACATGAACGAGCAATCTTGGACCCAAGCCTCCCTACCCATCCGTTATGGTGGTTTAGGAATTCGTAAAATTTCCAGTGTCTCTTTACCAGCCTTCCTATCTTCTGTCTATAGTTCAGCAAATCTCATAAGTAAAATTTTAAGGGCATCCCCTTCAAACTTTGAGATTGCTGGCCTGGAAGAAGCTAGAAACGCTTTCTTAATTGCATGCCCTGGTCAAAATTTTCAATTTCCTCTAAATTCACAGAGGAGCTGGGACGGCATAAACTGTAAATTGACTTATGACAATCTTTTGAGCTTTAGTACAGGTTCGGCGCGTGCTATGCTTTTGGCCGTGGGTACGCATGAGGCCGGCTACTGGCTTCACGCGTATCCTTCGTCAAATACAGGAACATTTCTTGAGCCTGACACGCTCCGAATCGCAACCTGTCTACGGCTTGGGGTTCCGGTCTGCGCTCCTCATAAATGTCCGTGTGGCAGTGACGTCGACAAGCTAGGATATCACGGGCTATCATGCCAAAAAAGTGCAGGTCGCTTCTCGAGACATGCAGCTCTTAAACGATATCATACGCCGGTCTCTTGCCACCGTCAACGTGCCAAGTCTACTTGAGCCGTCTGGTATTGCAAGAGACGATGGCAAGAGACCGGACGGTATGAGTTTGATTCCATGGAGGATGGGCCGGGTGCTGGTATGGGATGCAACCTGTTCAGACACGCTGGCCCCTTCCCATCTACGTGGAACCAACAACAGAGCTGGTGCGGCTTGTGAAGCGGCAGAAAAGGCTAAAGTTTGCAAATACAGGGGTCTAGGCTCCGAATATATTTTTGTCCCTTTCGGTGTCGAGACCCTTGGTCCGTAGTGTCCTAGCGCTATAAGCCTTTTTAAGGAAATAGCAAAAAGGTTAATCGACGTCACAGGAGACCGAAGAGCTGGCAGTTACCTCGGACAAAGAATTAGTCTAGCTATTCAACGGGGAAACGCTGCCAGTATCTTCGGAACCTTGCCTAAAGGACCTCTTTTTTAATAATTTAATTTAGTTATTATAATATATATTTTTAAGGTTTTTAGTATTAGTATTAATTGTAAATATTATAATTTAATTTCATTAATTATACTTATTTACATACATAAACATTTAAAATACCAACTCACTTAAAGCTGTACATTTATCTCTTACTTACTTATACAGTACATAGTAATAGCATTACATAGTTTTAAATTCAAATTTATTAAAATATAGTTTTATAGTGTCACCACGGTAACGTATTATAGCCATCTGCCATAATTTGTCTCTTGTCGTCATCTCTATTAAGTACAAGTTTATCAACTTTTTGAGTTAATATTTGATGATTCTTTGATCT